GCAATCGAGCGATTTCAAAAAACATTTGATTTTGAAACCAAAAGTGTTTCCGCCCGCACTTCGACGTACATAAAATTGCGGGGAGTACGAATAACATTCATAATCACAGGTCAATTTGTACGCGTTACTTTTCTCGTCATAGACCAAAATCATCACTGTGTCACTTCTGGTTTACTGGGCCAGTTACATCGTTTTTTTTTGAAGCGCGTCAAAAAAAAAGCAAGAAGCAAGGTAGTCGCGTCGTTAACGGTTATGTTATTAATGTATTGTTTTCATAATAAAGCGTAAAAGCGAACTGACTCGGAGCATATTGTATAAGAAACTCCCCTGCCCCATACGCACTAGACTGTAAAAAATAAGTAACCACAAATTCGTTTCAAATGCAACGTTAGTGTAGGTATATAAATATTACTTTCAAATTACTTCTAATTTAAGTTCGTATACAATTAATTGGGCTATTAAAACTTTTTTCCGGCTTTAATGTGCGCTTATTTGACAAACACGCTCTTATTTGGTTCAAGGATGTTTTCAGTTTAATTACCTATTCCTAAAGCACAATTTAAGGTTTAGTAACCGTAAATGGTAGATTGGCGGGTAGATACAGAAAGTGGCCCGGGCTCCGCAAGGGTCTGTTCCTGCCTTCATTGCAACTGCTAATTGGCACAATCTCGGTTATAAATATTGATGATGGTATTCCGTTAATAAATGGACGTAAACGTAAAATATAAAGTCAATCGTGTACCACAAAAGGGCCCGAGTAAGGCCCAGTACACACATCCGATTTTTTGACGCGCGGTACCGGGATAGGAGTTGCGGAGCAGTACGGCCAGCATACGTCACTTGTCGCCCGCATCTACGACTTTGTAGTACATACATTGTTAGTTATTGTTGCATACACACGGCATTTCACCTACAATGGTGGATGAAATCGATATTGACTTTTTTATCGATGAAATTAAAAAATATCCATTAATCTGGAATGTCCCTGTTGAGTTACCATATGATCGTGTGAAGAAAAGAAATGGAGTGAAGAAATATGTATTTTGTGAACGGGTCCACCCAATATCACCTTGTTTTTCTTAAAAAAAAAAATTAATTTATAAATTAAGTACGCCGCAACCACACGTTTCTTGCGATACATGTCCATACTAGAAATCAACAAATACGGACTTCGATATTTAACGGCATCGTCTGAATCAGATTCTGCGGCTGTCGTTGCGGTGCCACAAGTCAAAAAATCGAATGTATGCATCGGGCCTAAATACGGCTACAGAGAAAGCTTATGAATAGTTCATTATTTACAAAACAAACTATTAATAATTGTTTAATCAATTTTAATTATTACGAAGGGACATTTTTATGTAACTTACCTAGATTTGAAAGAAAAGAAATTGATAGCAAAACAAAGTTAATGTTTCTATGTACCGGGTGACCCATTAAGACCGTTCCTCGGCCATATCTCGGGAACCGTACGTCGTATGACAGGGGTAAAAAAAAATTATTGGGTAAATCGGTTATGAAGAATCGCTAGAAAATATTTTCAATTTCTAAAAATGACCACCAGAGAGCGTAACTGCCTTCTTAAATTTTAAAATTGCATTTTCTTTAAATTTCGCATAATAAACTAAACATTCTTTTTTCACATTTTTAAAGAGAACCAGTTTATCTATCATTTTCGTAAAAACAAAAACAAAACAAAATATAGTTAATTTAGTTGAATCCTTCTGCGCCAGGGGGCTAGTTTTGGCACCATGACCCAAAATCCTAAAAAAAATGAAATGGAATGATATGACTTTTTCTTTATGAAAAAGTAACCAAATAACATCCAAAGATGCCAGTGAAAACCGTTTTTCAAAATCTCGTTCCTAACCTCAAATATTGGGAAAATGAGATTAATTATAATTAATTAATAAAAATGCTTAAATTGTATCTTATTAGAGTATTTCCGGTATTTGTCGATTCTCATTGTCCAAGGAATGCTCTTTTCAACCATACCAAATTTGTTAAAAGCGGTCAAACGGTTAAGAAGTTAAAGCAGGTTATTGCAAAAACAACTGAACGTCCCACACCATCTTTATATTTGAAAGAACTAAGTTTTTGTTTTTACGAAAATGATAAACTGGTTCTCTTTAAAAATGTGAAAAAAAGTTTTTTAGTTTATTATGCGAAATTTAAAGATAATGAAATTTTAAAATTTAAGATGGCAGTTACGCCCTCTGGTGGTCATTTTTAGAACTTGAAAATATTGTCCAGCGATTCTTCATGACCGATTTACCTAATAATATCACGAACGGTTCTCGAGATATGGCCGAGGAACAGTCTTATTGGGTCACCCGGTAGCTTTATGCGCTTATTCCACTGTATCCGCAATCAACAGACTCCTTCAAAAATTTCGTTTGGTATAGCTCTTCAAAATAGTCACAAACAGCAACTTTCAGGTCATCATCAGATACAGATACATCAAATTTTTTAGATGTTCCGTGGCGCAAATTTCAGCAACTACTTAATCGAAGTACTATGGTATTTCATTTTCTAATATTACTATTAAACGCCGGAAACTATTCACTAAGGTTGCCTAAAACATGATGAATTGAATACTGCCTCCTGTAAGGGGGTCTTCGAAGTGCCCCCCCCCCAAATCTCCCGCCACCTCTACTGCAATCGTGGATGTGCCGGCTTTTCCCGCACCTCATTCTCCGTAGTCCGTTTAGTTCGTACCTACTTGTAGTTAGGAGCGTTAACCTGCACCCCCCCCTACAGATTCGATGTCCGTTTTATTAATAAGTAATGCGGCCGTCGTTATGCGCTCACACGCGCCACCGATAATAACTCTTGCGCCATTATCGATTTTTAGCAATCCGAAAACACATTTGGGAGGGGCCAAGTATATGATACATCTAGATATGCGCTCAATTGCGCCACTTGAAATAAAGCTAGCACCATCACGGTTAAGTCATTACAAATTTTCAAAAAAGGAGGGGGGGGCAACTTATCGTTTTTAAAAGTTACTTTTTCCTATCATGTTTCTACAGGGTGGTTTTTTAAGTGGAACATTAGTAATATCTCGGGAACGGTTTGGAATTTTAATTCGGGACCCATTACCTTTTTTGAATAACCGATCAAAAGGAATCATTT